GTTTGTTTACATAAATGCCTAATGCATATGGAAACTTCCTAAAGATCCCCGCTACTTTGTACCTGGTTATTAATGTTGATTTAACAGACATAACGAGTAACTGGTGTTGCTAAGAAGGGTGGTAATACTTTTTAATATTTTTAATTATCTGAAATTATCTATCCTCTGGAAGAAATGAACCAGAGATTGAAATATGGAATGAAATATTTTTTTAATGCATTGGGGAATGGAATATATTATAAAAACTCAGATGAAATGCTGATTAGTATTTAGGAAGACTAATTGTAGTTAAAGATTGCTCTGCTGAGCATAGGTTGATATGCAACCTTGCTGTGTCTTCAGAAATCTTTAGAGTGTAGGACACAAACCAGACTTCACCTTTTTTGGAATCTGGTACATGTGCATTTGTACAGCTTACAAAATGCTTTTTATATGCAGTGAGTGAAGGATTGGTATGTAAATAAGGAGCCAAAGCATCACACAGCTGTAGCAAAATGGGATACAACTTCCCTGGAAAAATGGAGTCTGATTTCTAGAGGCGTTCGTCAACAGGAAGAGTCTGTGCAAAGCTTGCAGGATGCAAACAGTAATGTTTTTGCTGATGTCAAGGGCTTAGTGAGTGGGGAATAAAATGTAGTGGAAGGCAATATATGGGATTTTAAAAAAATGTCTATATTGTATATTTTTTCAAGTAGGTCTTTCTTCTAATATACAATTCCAAACTCACAAATGATTTGTGAATTTTGACAGAAGATATTTTCTGTAATAGTGCTGTTCAATTCTATCTATGATGCTTTATCATATTGAACTTTACATACATTTGCATGGACTGTAGCACAAAAAATGTTTAAGCATAGGGGCATAAAATGATCAGCTACTCAGAATGGGAAGAAGTTTATCCTTCTACCAAACAGTTCATTATTAGAGTTTGATGTTTTCTAAAACAGTGTGGTTGTTCAGAAAAGATATAAAGCTAGATGGGTCTTTGGTCTTTTCCTATATAGTGGTTCTAATGTTTCTAAATTGCTATTGCTAATATCAAAAGAAATATTGCAAATGTTGATCTACACAATACTTGCTTCCTTTACACAAAATGTACCACTGAAGGCAGTTGGCTAAACCTCCAGAGTAGTAGGATTTGGTTCAGAACATTGTTTTTATAAAAATGTAAAATATTAAATAGATGTTCAGTAATATTTAACAGGAAAAAAATAATAAAAGCATATTTCATTTTCCAGCCACCAAAAATCCCCTTGCACAAAACCTTTTTCTCCAGAAATAGAAAAGGAAACAGCTAATCCATTAAAATCACCAGTGACCAAAGCATTTCTGCTGATGTCCCTGATTTATATTGCTATAACCCTACACAGCTATAATGGACTACTGACTAACATAGTCCCTCACTCCAAGCTAGACACCCAGAATGGGACCCAATAAGATAGTTTAAAGAGGAAGAGCTTAAGCTGCTTCCTTGAAACATTTTTTTCTAAATCAATCAAAACAGGCACATAGCCACACAGGGTTCTAAAACAAGTGCTGTTCCTCGTAGTAACGCCTACTGTAAAATTTTACCGAATTTGTTTTCTACTTCCTCCTGCCCAGCCCCTCCCCTAAGATACTTCTACAATACCACGGTCTAGCATGTTGGGAAGGAAACAACCTTGACAAGGTATTTTATTTTCTGGTAGTGACAATGCAATCTTTTTTCCTAATAGAGATATTTCCTAGTATGTGTCACTGGTGGTGTACCATTCATAAAACCCAAGCACAAATAGGTCTTCCTATAGGAATTATAACCTTCAGCTTTCTACTACCTTTCTACTACCTGTCTACTCTGAGCTTTCTTTTGTGTACATTAGAAATGATTAGAAAAACTTACTGTTCTTGGAAATCATCAAGTACATATTTGTGTACCTTTGGATAATTTGAAGAAAGTAATTATACAAACTGAAATGGAGAGACATGACACATCTTGGTGAAGATTGACTGGTGAGGAATTAGTGAGAGACCAGCTGGTGTGAGATCACCCAAAGACATGTCAAACCTGGTGGACCTGTGGTGTCAGCAGTACTTATTCCCTGTCCTTTTTAATCCGTTATGCCCATTCCTACCTGCAGCATGCTCTGCAAAATTTTTCTGATGTACCTATTTGAAGTGCCAGGAGATCAATTGTCACTTAACATCTCATTTTGAACAACTGTATCTTGGAAATGCATTTTAAAATTATATATATATATATAATATGTATATAAATAACAAGCAGGTTTTCAGGACACCTGAAGCTAGCACTTCACTAACTAGTAAGTCTGGATGGACACCAGTGTTAACAGCTTCAAAGGCCATTTTTTAAAAGGTACAAATTATATCTCAAGAAATTGTATCACCAAGTATTTGAAATTATGCACAAAAGTATCCAAAATGATATCCTGAAACCTGTTCAGAAAAAAGCAGGATCTTGAGATCTGTCTTTCAGCACATTAAGGCCAAAAGTTCAATTCATTTCAACAGAAAAAGGAAGGATAATTAGTCTTTTATTTCTAAGAAGAGCAAAAAAACCCCCAAATCTTTATCAAGAACCATTAAGTTCTCTTCCAGAATGTTTCAAATATCACAATTCAAGTTCTCCTTCAAATGTCAGTGTCAGATTTCAGTGTTAGGTAGTCACTGCCTGTTCTATTATTACTACTGCTGCCTACCTTGATAAAAGCCTAATCATAATACATTCTTTTTAAAGATGCAGCAAGATGTTAATCTGTGTTTCCATCTATCTCTTGTACTGTTTTTATTGCAATAGCATCTGGACCTCAGGAACAGATGCTGTGTTAATATTAGTTAAAACAAAAACATAGATACAATTTGTGAGTTTCTGAGACAGCGGGATGAATTTGCACCCTTTTTTACTGTATGATGTTTAGCATTTGTACATTTTGTTCAAGGAAGTTAGCCAGAAGCCTAGTAGAAATATAAATCATAGCTGTAGCTAAACTACAGCTTATCATGACTATATCCATAGGCGAAAAAAGATGGATCATGGCTATATCCATAGTCAAAAACTTTTTAAAAGGTCACTTTTCAATACAGTGTGTGCTAAATTGCGTAGAAGTCATTTTAGGTTGCATCCCTCTTTGCCCGCCCAGTTGTTCTTCCAGAATATGCTAAAGCTTTTGGTGGGTCATTCAGATGAATATAGGTCATTGCACATTTTCAAGTAATGCCATTGTCCCAGTAATCTTTGTTAGCTACCTAAATACTTTAAAAAATAATTTGACTAAATATTTTTCCTTGTAAGTGTGGCCAATATGATAATCTGATCTTACACCTCTGTTTTTCCCTTATTCATTGTTACTGATTTTAAATTACAAGCCACTTTCAGCAGTGACCATCTTTCCCTGGGCAGCAGTTAATACTTTTGGAGTATATTTGAAACTTTAATGAATATTGCGAATTACACAACTTCTTTACAAACTTCAACAGTCACATGGCACTGCAACATTCATTATCACAGAGAAACTCACACAGTGCGTAAGACATTTGCAAGATGCTTTCCAACAGGTCTCAACCAGTTGAAACATATTTGACCTAAATGCTTGAAAGTCTGTTGACTGTGAAGGAAAAACACAATTTTTCAAGAAGAAGAAAGATTTCTTAATAACATTAAGATATTATAGTAGCATAGCTTTCTTTTGATCTGTCTTTGATTATTTGAGAGTAGTGGTAGACAAAAGAAATCTATTTTTGAGAGCATGAGAACTTTACTGTTCTCAGGCTGAAAGCACAGGCATGCAGAGTTAGAACAGAGGGCCATCTAGCCTGTCCCCTGTCTCTGACTGTGACCATCAAAGGATGTTTAAGGAAAATGTAGAAGAAATAGAGTGTATGTCCTAATGTTCCTTCCTCTGAATTTAGTGATTTTTAATCTGAAAGTTCATCTGGATAATCATGTTTAAAAACTGATCTCAGTGAATGCATCTAAATCCTTTCACCACTTTAGCTTCCACAAGAATATAAAAATTAAAAAAAACCTTTCTGAAACAATACATTTCTTTTCTTAGTGATGCATTTCTTAACACTGTAATAGCAAGGCAAAGAAAGGCCAGACTGTGCTTCTCAAGCTCAAAGCTACACTGGAGCTAAGCTTTCATTGAAGAACAGCTATCCCCATCACAACCACTATTTCAACATGCTTTGCTTCTAGAGGTTATTTGCCTTTATGCATGTACATTTCAGGTGTTGCTTACTGTTGGGTTTTTTTTAACTACTTTATTTTAAAAGCCAGATTTCTGCAGCCATGTCACTGACTCACCTGATGGTACTATTTAATATTTTGTTCCTACTTACAGTCCCTTCCTTAAAATGTCTCTCTTCCAAAAGAAGTCCTCTATCGAGTAGCCAAGCAACCTAAAACCTTCCTTCTAAGATTAATCATTGAGTCATCTTGCAGCTTATTTAATCCTGTATTTCAAACAAGTTCCTTCTCTTGAGGCTAGAAGAATTCCATTCAAGGCCAGAGAAGGCAGTCTTTCTCAGCTGGCAGCTCTTTGATCCTGTTCTTGATGAAACTTTGCAGTGATATTTATAAGCATGAAGTAGGATTAGTGAATGCTCCTGTTCTCACATGGTCACTTTTTGTAGCTCAGGACAAGTATTCTTGCTCCTGCCACACCCCCTTTGTGTTCCTCCAGATCAGCTCTGATGACTTGCTCATAGGCTCTTTAATGAAAATCTTCAATCATCCATACATGCCTGTTTTTCATGTTGTAAATGTGCTTCTTCCCTTGTCCTCCATCTGCTGTTTCTTTAACCGTTATTTGTGTCATTTTCTCCTCTCTGTCATGATCTTCTGTATAATGCAATTCAGTGGCCTCATGATCCTGCTTATTTTCATTGCCCCTTCCTCTTCTTACAGAGCTAGCTGCTCTTCTTTCCCCCTTGGTGTGTCTGCCAGTTTCTGCTCTTTGTTCCTCCACCGTGGTGTTTCAGTTAGCTGTCTTTGCTCTTACCTTGTCTTCATCGCGTGAGTGGCTTCTTTTCTTTTCTGTGTCTCTGTGTTTCAGATCATCATTTTCTTCAGGCATCTACAGTTCTTGAATCTTCCATGATGTGTTGTCGTTTCTGCTCCTTCACGTCCTTAAATTCCCTTTAAAACTTGATTCTATGTACCCATGGCAACAGTCGCTTCAGATTCTGTGACCAAAGCAAGCACTGAATTGCTTCTGCAGTTCTTTTCTTGTTTACCATATCACATAGAAATGGGAGAGCTGAATTTGCTTATTTGATGACTCATAACTTTCCACTAGAACTGATGTTTGAGCCCTTTTCCTCAGAGCTGCGTGAACAACTCCTAAAGAACAACTCATTTAGTGAAAGTAACCTTTTTTCTTTTTTCTAGTTACCGTAAAACAGAATCTGTTGGATTTTTGCAAAGAGTAAATATTGAATGGTTGTTTAGGGTTTGATGAGCCTTGGAATATTCTTCCACAAACCTTTAGAGAAGAAAAGTCAGCAATGGGCACCACATATCTGGTATGGTGAGGGAGGAAATAGGATAGGCCAGCTTTGTTAGCAGCCATCTGTCACTCCCACAGACACTGCCTCTTGTGACTGAAAACATGTGAAACAATGCAGTGGGTTCAGTCTGAGGGGATGGCTTTGCAAACCCTTGGCAAAGGCTACTAGGAAGCTGCAAGCACCCCTCAGTCAGTAAGGACAGCTACTGATAAGCTCATCACAAAATATTGCATGATACATAGCACCAACTAAAATGTTAAGGAAACTACACAGGGGTTACATATGTAACATGTACATTGTCAATTAAGAAATTAGGAGTGAAATGCAGAAGTGGCTATGATATGTAGAAGAATGCTTAATTAAGCAGGGATGTAGGTGTATACAGGGTTGACTGAATTTGTGAGATAAGGTTTTGGTGTGGTTTCTCATGTCAATAATACTAGAAAGAAGCTGCTTATCTGATTGTACAGATTGTGGAGAGAACTAGTTCTTTTAGCAGAAGACTCTCCTACAAATAAGATGCATCTTGACCATCTGTTGCCAGATGGAAGTGTTCTACTTCTGAATCACTGGCTGCAATGACATATTTAGACAATGAATCTTTCATGGATAGATCCAAAGCACAAATGCATGTTGAGATTATTTTTTGTGTTTACTTGGCCTTAAGTTATAGTACGGCTATATACTCTTGTGAACATACTCTTGTTTTGTAGATAGCAAATCTAGCAGTCTGCACCCACCCTTTGTGAGGTATCCCAAATGCCTGAATAAGAAGTACATAATTTATCACTAAAAAATGCAAATACAACATAGAGGTCCTATTTCACTGTACATTTGTTTGAGGAGTCTGAACAATTCAGCCTATGTACTTTGGTAGGCAGTGTATAGGCAGTATTTTGGTATCCAGGCAGGCCCAGTACACAGCTCACCGACTCATATACCTTCACTTACTGGTCTTTACTTAAATTTCCCTTGTGAAAAAAAAAATATTCTTTCTTTCTTTTTTTTTTCCTTTAGGATATTTACTGTGATTTATTTTTTTTAAGTGAACAGAGATTAGGAAGAAGAAAAAAAATTTCCATAAGCTGACTGGGAACTTTACAACTATGCAGTAAAATTTTAAGTCATTGCTGTTTTAATGAAGTACAAAGATGATTATCATGCTTAAGTTCTTTGAAGTTCAATTGTGGCTTTTTACACATATTATTATGCACAAATTAGGTCTTATGCAGAAGTTGAGGACTGTCAGTGAATTTTATTTCATCAGAAATAATGGCAGGTTTTAGTCTTACATGAGCCGAGTTTATTTGGCCTGAAGGAAATAGAACAAATAAGTGGAATCTAAAGAAATAGCATGTAGAGATTAATATATGCTAGCCTACATCAAATTTTTCTCGATGAGAAATAATTGATACATCATTATGCTGCAGTGTCATAGAGACTCTCATACCGATGACATTGTGCACCATTTTGATTTTGGAAAAGAAGAATTATACCCGCTGCCATCTGTTTGGCCATGCAGAATTTGATTAGATAGTCACATGAGGAAAGTACTCAATATATTTTAAGATACAGTTGAAAGAAAAGCAGCAGCTAAAGTCTGGGAAGAAAACCATTACAGTGTACTCAGCTCAGCTTCCCAAAAAACCCCATCAGTAATTCTGCAGATCAGCAGTTCAAGACAACTTGAGATGCAGCTATTCTTAAATACAAATTAGTTTTGATATACATGTGATTGTGGTGACTTATGCTGCTTTATTGTACTTTTGGTGAACACTAGTGCAATTGATTTTTTCTGGAAAAAATATTTAGAAATAGTACATTTCACAGGCTGGCATGTGGACTAACTTTTAATTTTAATTAATACAGGATGGAATTGATCCTTGTAACAGAAACAATAATATGTGATATTTATACCTACTTAAAACTAATCAACATTACTCAAAATTTAAACATATTGCAATTAAGAGAATTTAAAAAATCAGGACAGAAATGTCAATACTGAACAAATTTGAAGAAACCACAGTGTAACTTCACTTACTCTGCTATAATTTTGTTCTAATACTGTTAATGAGGCACAGAGAAAGTACATTAATCAGCTGGATAAGTTTTATCAGCAGCTGTCTCACAGCTGATTCCAGATGACGCTATATGACGCTAATGTCCATTGCTCGCAGTGGGCCAACTCTACATCCACTGTTGGATTGATCAGACCCAGAGTTCAGATAAGGAATACACTAACTGGAAAAGAATACAGAAAGTGTGGTTGGCCAGAAAGTACTGCAGTGACTCTAAATATGCAACAGAGCACTGAGTGAGGCAATGAATTGTGAGACGAAAGATGCTTCTCACATGTAGGTACAATCATGGATACATCAGTCAAGCTTGACTCACCCACCGCCTCCACAGCACTCCCAACTGTGACTGTGAGGGACTCTTGGCAGCATTAATTTTAGTGTCATCAGTGTGTAATTGAAACAAACCCCTTTAAATTTCCATGTTTTATTTGTGAATTACTTGTTCAAAACTTTTAGGATTCAAGAATTGGTTCCACTGGGTTTAGAACAAGTGCAATGTCATTACCCCATCGCACGGCCCATGTCATTCATACCTCACTGGTTGTTGATAATACAGAGAATGCTGCAGCTGATTTTGCCTTGTCTGGTAAATCCATTCCTGACCGGAGGGCAAGCTGCAGATTAAGACTTGCTTTTTAAAACATTCCACATATTAAAATATTTTGATTCTGAAACAGAGAGCAAAATGAAGACAATAAGCCATTCCAAGATCTACATTATTCCAGACGGTTACACTGCACTAACTATTCTAGTGAATCTCTGCAGAGATTCCCACAGTTAGCTGCCTCACTGTGGGAAGGTGTCTGTGTAGATGCCTTCTGAGTGGCAAGGGCTTCCTGCTATTATGGTGGAGGGTCATTGTCACATTTGTGGTTGATGGGATTTCATGTCAGCACCAGGATTTTGCTCCTTCACTCCAGTGGGGTCTTTTCTTTAAGTACAAAACTACAGGATTAAGATTCACCTTGATTTCACAAATGGAGTAATTTTATGGAATTCTTTTATTGGTTAATCCCATATTAATTTGCCTGCTTGCAAAACAAGTGCATTCTTCCCTCATCTTCTTAAAAGAAAAATGACCTTGTTACTTCTGATACTGTGGCTTGTTGGGCAAAACTTAATCCTGTCACTACAAATATAATCCCATGAATCCTCTTCTTACTGATAACACTTTTTACTATCTAAACTCCTGTGGGAGCTTTTGATTTGGTGTTTGACAGGCTTCCAGGTCCTCTTAATGTTAATCTGCAGATAATGAGTAACCTAAGAAAGAGAGGGATATAGTTTCTCTGGTTTATAGCTTTCATCTTTTATGGTAATAAGATTGTCACTCAATACTCTTTCAATTGTTAAACAGCTTTTGAAAAACTCATTTTATCTAATTTCGAGACAGGAAAGCACAATTTAGCTCCCAGTATTGTCACAAATGAAACACCCATCAGAAGGTCAGCAAAGAATGAAGAAACAAGACATTTGTGCAACATATATGGGAATCACTAGGGAAAATATTGTGTTGAAATCTATTGCACTGCCTCCAATCTTCCGGTAACATTCTCCCCCACATTTCATTTACACTTGACATAGATGTTGCTGTCCATTGACAATCACTGACAGCCTGGCAGATGTTACAGGGACCTTGTCGGCTATGGATCAATACACTGTGAGGTGGAAGGTTATTTGGAGGAAGTGGCAAAGCAAGTAACTGCTCTGGGCTTCAGAGGGAAAGAGCATCTGAGTTCATTACTAAGGTTCACCAGTTAGTGGCACTCATGAATTTTCAGGTAGCAAAAGCAGCCAAGTGTACCATTTCCTGCTCTCATCAGGGTAGTTCACAACTGTTCTTCTCTCATGTGTCTCTCAGCTGATAGCAACCTATTCTTACAGAATTTATATTTCTCTTTCTTGTCATTAAAATTTCATCATCTTTTCTCTTCTCCATTACCTCTATGAAGACTGTATAGATTTGGCACATAAAAATGGCTTCCTACCATGAAGATTTTCTTCATAGCACAGTGACCTTATTTTCCTGTTTTATTGACAGAACAGACACATGCTCTGTCTACCTTCTGCAAGCCACTACATTTTTACCACACTGGAGAGTTTAAGAGCTACTGATAGTTCTAGTGAGCTCTATATGCATTTTAGTAGATTTTTTTTTTTTTTTTAGTTCAGAGTGCATCTTACATCTCCTGCTTATTGGTAAGTATTTTTTCATTAGTATAGGGGAACTTCACCCATAAATGGAAAGAGACAAGTGACATAGAAGATGCCATTTGTATTTTTAGATAAACTCCAAGTTATAGGGAAACCTGTGATGGAACAGACATTTTGGAATGTTACAGTAGTGTCTTAAATCTGCTGGCATGTATAACACACTGGCTTTCACCAAAAATGCTGAAAGACAAACATAAGAATGGCAACTGTGGATAATAGATGTGGCAAAATAGTGA